AAGGTTAAGTCAAATTCTTTACTCCTCTACTCAAAACAGACCATTTGCTCTGAGTAAAATCCAGAATATCTTCTGTTCAAATGTCTCCTTCTCAAGGCCTTCCATAATCTCGCCATATAAAAGTGGCCTTATACTATCCCCAGGCCTTTCTTTTCTCCTGACTCAATTTCCTTTTCTTTTGTCATATATATTTACCTATCTTCCCCCTCTAGAATAGAAGTAACAAGAGAGCAAGGACTGTTTTGTTCACTGCTATATTCCTAGCACCAAGAACAGCGCCACGCACACTGCAAACTCTGGGCCGAAGCCAAGATCATACTTAACAATAAAACAAAAGAGACAATCCCATTAAAGACAGGGACAAGAAACAAAATCACAAAATACCACATGTCAGCTACCAAACTGGTGAATTATTAATTTTTTAAACTTTGAAGTACACTTCAGCCATTACAATCATTTTTAAAAATCTCCAGTGCACATCCATCTCAGTGAAATTTTACATCTGTGTACATACTGTAACCACCACCCAAGATCAAGATATAAAACATTTCCTGAACTTCAGAAGCTCCCTTGACTGGGCCTCCTCTCGGTAAATACCCCCCACAGAGGTAAGCACCAGTCTGACTTCTGTCACCCAATTAGGCCTGTACTTGAACTTCATATAAGTAGACTCAAACAGTATTCGCTGTCCTGCCTGGCTTCTTTTATGCAACCTTGTATCTGTGACATATGCCCATGTTGCTGCATGTATCTATCAGTCACGCATTCTTTTTTTAATGAATATACCACAATTTATCCAATCTACTGCTGATGACATTTAGGTTGTTCCAGTTTGGGGATGATATGAATAGAACTGCTGTGAAGAATCCTGGGTATGTCTTTTGGTGGAAATAGTCGTTATCTGCAGACTGGCAAAGTGTTTGATTGGTTTTTGGGGTAGAGTTTAATAATAACTTAGACTGGGGATGATGCAGGAAACTAGAAGTGGGCACTGCTGGTGTGAGTATCAGGTGGAATAACCTTTCTGGAGGGCAATCTGGCAACAGGCACCAGAAGCTTGAAAATATCTGTGCCCTGAGACCAATAATTCTACTTCAAGGAAATTTCTTATTGAGTACCTACAAGTGCCAGATCTTCTAAGTGTTTTACATGTATTAATTCATGTGAGTTATTCTAAGGAAATATTAGAGATGCTCACAATGGTTTAGAAGGATGTCAACCATCCATCATTAGGAATTATAAGAAGTAATAGTAAAGAAGGTAAAAAACTAACAAAAGGTGAATGATTTTTATACTGTATTGTACTTCTGTGAAATTAAGCATTATAGAGCCAATGAAAATGTTTTCAAAGAACATTAAAGACACAGGAAAAACTACAGGTTAATAAAAGAAGTTAGTTTAACAGGGGAATGCACAAAATGAATTCCAGATTTTTTTAAATATATGCATATACCTTCAATGTTAAAATAGTGGTAATTCCTGGAAGACATGGGTACTTTCATATTCTTAATACTTTTCTGTACTTAGCATTTTTTCTATATTAATTTTGTCAATCAAAGAGAATATGTGACTAAAAAGACTAGTAAACAAAGGTTTTTACATTCAAATGAAGAGACAGAAGACATTATGACACAATTTAATTAGGGCAGTGATACAGTTTTGTAGAGGATGATATTAAGAGTACTAAGGAGGGGCGCCTGGGTGGCTCAGTCGTTGGGCGTCTGCCTTCAGCTCAGGTCATGATCTCAGGGTCCTGGGATGGAGCCCCACATCGGGATCCCTGCTCAGCGGAAAGCCTGCTTCTCCTCCCACTCCCCCTGCTTGTGTTCCCTCTCTTGCTGTGTCTCTCTCTGTCAAATAAATAAATAAATAAAATCTTTAAAAAAAAAAAAAGTACTAAGGAAAGACCTCTAGCCTAGAGATTAGGGGGTGGGATATTATCAGGAAAGATCTCCATTGTCTTACTTCCACCAAAGACCCAGAGAGGAAGAACTCCATGTCTAGGTTGGAAGGAACCTTCCCAGGAAAATCCTGTTAATTCCTCAGCTCACTGTCCTTAGGATATCAATTACACATTGTACTTTGGCAAGTGTTCTCCCCTCCCACTTAGAAAAAAGCCTTAGGCAGACTGAGGAATGGAATTCCTGAACACCAAAGTTGCAGTACTTCAACAGCCTCAAACCTGGAGGAAGCTGGTCCCATTCACTCTGCTGGCTTGGCTAAAAAGCATCAAGGAAGAGCCCCTCCTTCCCTGTCAGGCTAAATGAGGGCAAAAACTTTTCAGATTTCCAGATGTCAGAAATTCCAGACAGAGTAAACTCAAATTTATACCAAAATTCACTGACTCGAGTTTAAAAAATTCTTCTACCTGAAGTGATAAAATCATCAAGAAATTATCCTGGTAATGGTAATTCTCTGTAACAGCCTCCTATTCCACCCCCCCCCCGCAGATGGACCACCCTGGAAACCAAAGGAAAGCGGAGCATGGAGATTAAAACTATACCTTAGTACTTTAGGGGCCAATTCTCACTTAAGCAAATGATATTTGTTTAATAATACATGATGAACATTTTGATGTGTTCAATTTGTTAAGCAATCACTCACTTCATGGTACAATAAACACTATTTTCTCTAACGTTACCCAAATTACTCATACTTCATTAAGAAAATTGCTAAGAAGATAACTGCTAAAAAGATAACTGCTTTTGCATGACAGAGCATTATTACTAAATTTTCTAACTTTTGACATCTGAACCACATTAAATTCTCAAGGACTGCTGGTCAAAAAAACACATATTTCAGTCACTTGCACAGATATGAAAGTCACACAAATTTATGTGATAAAGTAGAGCAGACTTGCTTTGGCCTCACTCTGTCTCCTTCATACACGCCCTCTTTATTTGCCCTTCAAACTTCTGTTTTCAAATTTATACTTAAATGTATTACAAAATTTTCCATAAACTACCTGCAGTTTTTCATGGTTATAGTGTTAAATTAACTAAATTAAGGTAAATGAAATTCTAGTCTAAAATTTATGAACACATCTACAATGCACAACAGAAAAAGTTTCTTATGCAGCTAAAACAGTTCCTTGAAAAAAAGTAAGTATTTACATAATCACCAGGGATTCTGGTTTTATTCTACATGTAACCTAGATTTTTGGATAATCTACTCTGGTTGCCTAGGGTATATTATGGGAACAGAGGATATAGAAATAGAACTGGCAAGATTTGGTATGTTCAAATTTCAGTTTTACATGTAATCAAAATACAGAAAAAATCTATTTCGAGTAATAAAAAAGAACTTTAGATAATCTATTCTTAATCACGTGTGGCAAAGTTCTAATAATATTCCCCAAGCATAGACCAGACTGTGAACCATTACCCGATATACAAAATTAGGACGCTGTCTCTCTTTTACAGTGGCAATTTTAGGGTTTTCTTTTTCGCTGTTGTCGCTGTCAGAATTATGCAAGATGATTAAATAAAACGACTTGAAGATTAAGTAAAACTAAATGTACCTAGCACTGAACGCTGAAAAGAACGCTGTAACGTAAGTGGCCAGTAGAGGGAGACTACGACATCTGGCCTGGTCGTGTAGTGTTTCTGTAAAATTGGGGAGGGGGGAGCGGGGGCTGTATTTAAATGTCCTGCTGTCAATCAAAGGACACTTCCTACAATCACAGTCACCATATCTGCTATTCGCCGTGAGCGCACTCTCGTCAAGATATAACACCAAACGGTGCTCGCGTAACCTGCTTCACCTAAAGGTGACCGCAGGCTTTGCCACAACACCCAAATAAGGACTTTGGGAGCCCAACCCCAACTAGTTTCTTTGTTTAAATGCCTGCGAGTCCCTCCCACGCCGGAGTCAAGAGGCTGTGGCGCCGCCCTTTATTAGCCTCACACTTTGATTACAAAACACACGAGTCGACGGCCCGGCGGCGGAGGCGGCCCGAGCTCTCTCAAACGTCAAACCCGAAACGCAGGCGGCGGCGGAGGCGGAGGGCGACGCTCGCCGCCCCCGCCGCCCGACCCAAAGTGCCCGCCGGCCGGCGAAAGTTCGCCCGCACCGGGGCCCCGGCTGCGAGCCCCCCGGCCGTCCGGGAGTCGCCGGCCCCTCGGGCGACGGGAAATTTCACTCTTTGTAAAGTTTGAGCTGCGGCGCGGGGGCGACGCGGGGGGCTGGAGACGGAGGCTGTCCCCCGGGCCCCGCTGCCCACGCCCCCCACTCCACCCCCGCCAGGACAGGGTGTGCTGGGGCGGCTGGCTGGGGGGCACGGTCCGAGCCGACCTGCCGGCCTGCCCGAGACCCCCGGCCCCAAACTTCCGACTGGCATCTTTTAAGTCCCCGAGAGTGCCTCATCTGTTGCTCTGTTTACTCCTCGGAGCCCCGCCGGGCTGGCGCTGCCGACGCCCCCGTCCCAGTGCCCCGCGGCCGAGGAAGTTTGATAAAGACCGGGGAAGGGGGCGCGACGGGGCCCGCGGGGGGGAGGGGAGGAGGGCAATTTCTGGAGACCCGGAGCTGGGGCGAGCCGGTCGCCGCCCGGAAGGAAGGCGCTGCGGCCGGCCGGGCGGCGACTCCGGGCCGGAGCCCCAGGCGGGCGGGGCGGCGGCCGGGCTGCGGGTGCGGCGAGGGGCGGCGGGCCGGGCCGGCGCTCCGCCCGCCGCCTCCGCCGGCGCCTGCCCCGGCCGCGTCCCCTCGCCCCGGTCTCCCCCTGCCAACTTCTCGCCCGGCCCCCTTTGTTCCCGTTTGTTGTGGCGACTCTTCTCCCGGCCGGGCGAGCCCACCAGCTCCCCTCTGCCCGCCCGGCGCCCGGCGAGCCCGGGGCCCCGCGCGCCCCGCTGCCCGGGCCGGGGGCTCGGCGCCGGGGCCCCTCAGCGCCTGGCGCGGCGCGGCGGCCGGGCGGAGGGGGGCGCGGGCGGCCGGCGCGGCGGCGGCGGCGGTTGGCCCGTGGCCGGCGGCGGCGGCGGCGGCGGGGCTGGAGGGGGTTTATTTACCTGCCGTGGAACCAGTCCTTGCAGATATCGCACTCGATCATGAAGCGGTTCACGTCGTACGGCTGCCGGCACACACAGTACACCGGCGGGGGCGGCGGGGGCGCCGAGGCCCGGCCCGGAGCCGCCACCGACACGGCTGCCGCGGCGGCTCCAGCTGCTGCTCCCGCGGCCACCGCCGCCGCCGCTCCGGCCATCTTTAAAAAACACACACACGCTCGCTCGCTGCTCCGCTCGCCGACTGGAGCGAGCGCAGCCGCCAGCCAGCGCCGCCTCCTGCAGCAGCCGGAGCAGCAGCCGCGGCGGCGGCGGCGGCGGCGGCGCCTCAGTGCGCGCGCGCGAGGTCGCGGCCGGGGCCGGGGGGCGGGCGGCGGCGCGCACACGACGCGCGAGGCTCCGGCCCGGCTCCTTCCGGCGCTCCGCGCGGGGCCGTGCGTCTCGCGCACGTCGTCCCGCCGCCGGCGCGCGCGCCTCGCTCCCCTCGCGTCGGCCGGGCGGAGGGACCGGCTGAAGGGCACGCGGGGCGGGGGAGGCGGAGGGAGGCGGAGGGAGGCAGAGGCTCCCTGAGGACACGCGCGGCGGCGCAGGGAACGCGGCCCCCGGAGGAGGACGGCGGGAGCGTGCGAAGAGCCGGCTTCGGCGTTTCTGAGTGAAAGCTGAGGCCGGGGAAGTTCCTGCGCGGTGAAGAGCGGCACACGCTGCGTCTGTGCCGAGAGGGGAAACGGAGAAGTTAGATCCCTGCGAGGGCCACCTCCCGACGAGGGGAGAATCCTTAGGCAATTAGCAGCCGCCCCGCGACCTCCGTGGGCCCGAGCCGAGGGTTAACAGGACGCCGAGCCGGCTGCGCCCTGCCGAGGTGCAGGAGCGTTCTGGCGAGTCACTGAGACTTCGGAAAACGTCCCACCTCGATTGCCACCGACTAGCTAGGAGAATGAGTGTCGATGGAGCCGCTGATCGGTGCAGGAGGTGGTTCCCAAGAGGAATTCATTAACGTCTGCGAGCCGAGAGGGACCAGAGTCAAGTGTGGCTGGTGGAGAGAGGACTGGAGAGGTCCCTGGCGTGTCATTAATAACACGACTTAGATGCGAATGCTTTCGAGTCCCAAGTTTGGAAGATAGGGACAAAATTCTAAATGGCAGTGACACCTCGGAAAAGGAATACTACAGAAGCCGGATAATACGGTAGTTGGCGCATAATAGGCCATTAATAAATATTTTTGAAAGAAGGGTAAGATTGATAAGAATAAAAACAGCTAACAAATACTGAGTAGAGAAAGAATGCCTCGGAATCATAACTACGCGAGTTGGAAGGCATGTTAAGGATTATTGAATGAGATGTTTGTAGCTGAATTGCGCAGGCATTTCTAACATCGGGGAAAGCCCTACAGCTCCCATCTCACGCAGCCCCAGGCAGAGAATCGCTGATACAGCCTCTTTTTTATAATTGAGGAAAGCGAGTAACTTGCCTGAAGACTCACAGATCTAAGCTGGAGCTAAACTTTCAGTTTGATTATGCACCCAGTCCTTTTCTACCTGGCACATATTTTGCAGGAAGAAACACCTGGAAATCAGAGTAGACCACGAAGTGAATACGTTTGAAACATATTTCTACTGGAGAAAAAGGAAAAGTTACTGTAATTTTGGCATGTTTAGAGGCATCATAGATTGGTGGAGTGGAAAGAGCCCTCCGTTCAGACCCTCCTTTATATAAGCTGTACAACTTGGGCAAGTCACTCCATTTCTCTTGAACTAGATCCTTGGAGAACTGTTCAATGATAATACCTTCCTTAACTACCTCAGAGAGGTCTTATAACAAGCAAAAGAGATAACGTATTTTTAAAAGTACACTGTAGAGATGGGGCACCTGGGTGGCTCAGTCGTTAAGCGTCTGCCTTCGGCTCAGGTCATGATCTCAGGGTCCTGGGATCAAGCCTCGCATTGGGCTCCCTGCTCAGTGGGAAGCCTGCTTCTCCCTCTCCCACTCCCCCTGCTTGTGTTCCCTCTCTCTCTGTCTCTCTCTGTCAAATAAATAAAATCTTAAAAAAAAAAAAAAATACATTGTAGAGGATGTGTGTAGGGAGACAGCATAGCAGTGTGTAAGGGAAGGGGAGGCAGCCAAAGCTGTCACGTTGGACTTGGGGTGAGAAGGGCATCCACACAGATAAGTGGCCTGGTATAGAGTGCTCTCCTCACCTTGCTGGAGGGGCCATCTGGCCTTGGGAAGTCAGCATGGGAGGTGAAGAGGGCATCCAAGCAGAGGAGGGGGCAGTATCAGTGGTGGGAGAGTGGTTATGTACAAGAGTATTGATCCAATAAGTAAGGGAAATGGGAATCAAATTTCTTACTGTTGAGAGAGTTACAGTGGAAAAAAAACTAGAATGAACCTTCAGGTAGTAGACTGATAATGGAGCCATCAATATTTATACAGGTGTGTAAATACATATATACTCTGTATACTGAGAGAGTCTGGGAGTAGTGACAAAACAAAACAATGAGTACGTCTAGCCCAGATCTTGGCTTCTCAATACCATTCTCCTCATTTTTTCTTTTTGGCAAAATGGCTGATTTCAGAGAAGAGAAGTACAGGATGAGCCTGGAGCCTCTAGTTGTGCCAGGAAATAAGGACATGCTCAAAGAATGATGGGGCATGTCAAAAGGACACAGGCCAACTTGTGTCCCACTAGCCAAATCTTTGACAAATTGAGCTTCAAAATAAAAAATGATAATGTATTGTAACCCACTGAATAGCACAGGAAACCATACAGATGTAAATAAACATAAGTTGAAAATTTGAAAAAGACTGGAATATTTACATACTTTCAAATTAACTCCCCATAAAGTTCTTATTCATCACAAAGGGAATTAGAGTAATTTTACAGCAGAGAGATGGCAGTCACCATTTTAATCAAGTGGTCAAGTGCCATCAGTAATGGGACAAATCAAAATCACGCACCAGCTGATAGGATCCAATGAGAAGCATACCAGCATCACTTCTGTGTATTTCTTCCCGGTCTACTTAGATGAGTTTCTAGTTTGGAAATGCAACAGTTTGTTTTTGTTTTTGTTTTTAGATTTTATTTATTTATTTGACAGAGAAAGAGAGACACAAGCAGGGGGAGTGGGAGAGGGAGAAGCAGGCTTCCCGCTGAGCAGGGAGCCCGATATGAGGCAGATCCCAGGACCCTGGGATCATGACCTGAGCCGAATGTCGAATGTCGACGCATAATGACTGAGCCACCCAGGCGCCCCTGGAAATGCAACATTTTAAAGGTACATCAAGAAATCAGCAAGAATGAAAACATGATAAGGCATACAAATCTGTAAGGAAAGGTTAAAGAAATTGTAAACACAAAGATTTGAGCTTGAGAAGAAAAGGATGAAGGCTTGAAGTCTGAATAATGCCAAAGCTCCATGCATAGTAATACTTAAGAGCATATGCTTGGATTCCACAATCTACTATCTCTGTGACAACTTACTATTGGGTTTTAGTTTTCTCATTTTAATGGGGATGATAAGAATAACACACAGGGGTGGGTTCATTAAGGAAGATAACAAAATGCTGGCCACAATACATAATAACCCATATAGCTGTTTGCTATAATTATGAATAATTATTTTACTTGTTTTTATTAACAATAATAGGACTGAAGAGCATCTAGAGAATTAGAAAGAGAAGGCTAGGAGAGTATTATCCCAAAAACAAGGGGGAGAGAATTTCAGAAAGAAAATATCTCGAAGAAAGACACCCAGCTCCATGCCAGCATTGGTTGGCAATGACTGTGGGGCTCCCTCTGCCCTTCTCCTTTGCAAGTACTCTAGTACCTGCAGTAGATCTTTAATTTTCATATCAAATCTAAGCTGCTCTGTGGTTGTTATTAACACTACACTTGTCCTTAAGCCCTCATTTCTCTGAAAAGAAATGTATTCTCCAACCTAACAACTCTGCTTCCTACTGCTACCAATACTCACCTATCTCCATGACCATGTCTGCTATTCTACTCCTTTTTCTTCAAAACACTGTTCAAAGCCCACCCCCAGGCCTCTGACTATACTGTGTACCTTTATATATATACATATATATAATTTGCATATTACTTGTGTGTTACTGAGATTTTCAGTCAGTGCCTATACTTTTTTTTCCCTAGGGGATAATTAATTTCCTTCTAACAAATTCAGGAACTGAAAGAGCCTGTTTCCAAAAAGCTTTACATACTTACAGGAAAAACATGAATAATTAGAAAAAATTCTTAACAAAAGAAGGGATATTAGTAGAACATTTAGCAGTAGCTCTGGATGCTTCTGTGGTGATGAAGGTTAGAAACCATTTTGCATTTGTCCTATGCAATTTATTTGGAGATCCTGAAAGAAATTACCTATCCCAAGTGGTTTTCTTCATCAGCTTGCCAGGGTGCATAAAAGTCCCACGTACACAGCATCCCTTAAAGGTAGATATAGGTAGGGTCTTCTATCCTCAAGGCTCCTGAGCAAACACAGATACAAGGTGTGAGAGGTATCCCATTGATGGTGATTCCTGTGGAACAGTAACACTAAGAAAGATTCTAGGGACTGCGGATTTCCATAGTCAAATAAGTTTGGACAAGGCTACATACTGTGCCTTCTGCAGTTAAGCAAATAAACCCAAAACCTGTGTAACTTTGGCTCAGCATCTCCCAAAGTCATTTGACCTCTTAAGTTGTTGGGGTTCTTTGTTTTGTTTTGCCTAATAGCCATTAATATCCCATAGAAGAAACCCATTTTGGGAACGCTACATTGAACTATTGACATGTGTTAAATGATAATGATTTGCTCTTGTATAGCACTCTGTACTTCCTGATTTTCACAATTTCCTGTTCATCAGATTAACTAGAGTAAGAAAGGAACAACCTGCCTAAGGTTATAGTGAGAAGACAGAAATTTTAATTTTACAGGGCAGAAGGGGAAAGGAGGTTTCTACATAGAAAACATCACTCAGGGAAAGCTGATCTTGAAGACGTAGTGCATCGCTGGTGCTGGGAGGGAGAGCATAGTTCCAGGAGAGAAGACAAGGCCCAACAAGTGAAACTCAGCAGCTTTATCATAGTCAGCCTGATTTTTCTTTGCTTCTGACCCAGGAGCTGGGGAAAATTCTAAACTGACAGCCCAAGATGAGGATATTATTAAAGGAGGACTCGTTGTGTTGAACATATTTGATCAGAATGCATATCTGAGAATAAAACGGTGATGAGAAAGTAGGATAAATGAAGACAAACCAGGTAAGTGACATTAGTAAGGAAAGTGAATAAA